AATAACTTTATGATGGCCCAAACTTTACCTTCCACCATCTCTTGTCCTAAATCTGCCATTTAGAATATGAAACTGCTCCGATTTCTTTGTAGGCCACCATATTCTTCACTTAAAGAAAAGCCCCCTCTTATTGGATGCCAACTATTTAGCTTCTTCTCTTAAAAGAGTGAATATATAATCTATCATCCAAATAGGGGCGTATTTGGGAATGGAAGAGGGTAACTATTAAAAAATTATGTCTAATAAAATAATAATAACTTAGAATTCTGTGAGGCAAGCAGAGTTATATGCTTCCTAACTACTAAAGAGAAGGAAATGAATGCTTATGAAGACCATGTAATGTACTTAGATGCTTTATACATAATATTATCTCAATTTAAAAACCATCTCTGATGTGGAATGTGGGAACATTTTCAGCAATAAATCTGAAGCTCTGTGACATTAAGTCAGGGAGTTAACATATAACAGTCTAAAAGGAATTTTAGGAACTTGACTCACGACAGTTTACAATAAAGGCTATTGATTTGGCTGTTTGGAGGAAGTGCATTAGATACACATTTGGCCAAAAGCCAAAGGTTAAAATCAATACTTGACTGAAATGATATATTAATGGAATAGAAAGAAGTGTTTGAAGACAAGATTAAATCTGAAGCCTTATTAAACATTGTAAAGTCAGATTTTGAAAGTTTGACACGTTGGTGAAGGGAACAATTTATCAGCACCCTCAGCTGGTGGACTGCTCCTGTGGTCCCCGTGTTGCAGGCCTGCAATCCTAATGGATGCTCGCTTTAGTCAGGCTAATGTTTAATGCACCGTATATGGAACTTGGGATTCACCAGTCAGCAAATCCAAAAAGTCCTGGGTCAGCCTCTAGTGGAAATGTTTACTAGTCTACAGCAATTATTTTGACAATCTTTTGGGGTTTTTTGGTCTCCATAGGCTAGAACTATAAGGAATTGACTTCTTCAATTTGAATTTTGAATAGTGAGAACAAAACGTGCATTGAGATCCTCTTGTTTCTCTAATATTTTCTTCTTTCTTTCCTACTTGTTATTTATTCATTCAGACAACATTTATTAAATTTCTGTTCAGTGTATCAGCCAACATTTCAGGGGGTGGGGATCCAGCGGTGAGCAGAAGACAAAAGTCCCTCTCCTCATGGAGTTTATATTCTGGGACTTGGGGAGACAGATAATAAGCCAAACTCTAAATTAAACATAAGACATATAAACAGTGTTCAGTGCTGTAGAGAAGAACAAAGCAGGTAAGAGGGCTATGAGGAGTCTCTGTTAAGACTGGGTCATGATTATTTCTCATGATTTTTTTAAGAGCTTTTTCCCCCCTCATGAATTCTTTAGGGGCAAATGTGACATTTAACTATTAATTTCTCATAACAAGATATGAAGAGTTCCCAACTAGGACATTTCCCTCACTGAACATCTCATTGTCTTAATGGAATTAAATAACTGAAAATTAAATATAGTTTTTAAAGGTTATTTTCTTTAATATTTTGAAAGCTAGTACACGAAATAATTCTATAACTATTATTCTGCCTTGTATTATTTTTTAAAATGTTATAAGCATAATTGGCAGAAAAATATAGTATCTTTCCTAAGGTTATCTATCTTCCATTCTCTCTCTCCCTCTCTCCTGAACTGAATTTACTTTATTTAGCGAATACTTATAATGTATCACTTATGTATAAAAGGACATAGAGCCAGGTATAGTTCTAAGAACTTTACTCTTAGTCTCTTCACAATCCTGTGAAGTAAGTTAACCATCTCAAGGATGAGGGCTTGAGAGAGGTTAAGGAGCCTGCTCCAGTATACATACGAGTAAATGAGACAGCCAGGTTTCAGACCCAGGCAGTGTGGCTCCAGGGTCCATGCTGTTAATCGGGATGCCTCATTACCCAGTATTTTTCCTTGGCTAGGCACATGGGTCAGAATCTACTACTAGTTGACTCTCACTTAGCAAGGTTCATCATTGGCCTTTCCTTTCAACAGATGTTTACAGCTTTTGGTAGTATTGCCATTTTAACAATATTAATTTTTCTGATCTGTGAATCTGGGATACTTTCCCATTTATTTGTGTCTTCTTTGATATTTTTTCATTAGTGTCTTGTAGCTTTTAGAGTAAAGGACTTTTACCTCCTTAGTTAAATTTATTTCTAAGTATTTAATATTTTTTGATGCTATTGTAAATGTGATCCATTTTTCTCCCTGGAAAATTTGTTGTTAATGTAGAGAAACACTACTGATTTTTGTATGTGAATTTTGTAATCCGCAGCTTTACTGAATTCACTGATTAGACCTAATGGTTTTTTGGTTGAGTCTTTAGGATGTTATTGCTGTAAAAATCATGCCATCCGCAAATAGAGATAATTTTACTTCTTTCTTTCTAATTCTGATACATTTTATTTCATTTTTTCCCCTGATTGCTTAGGCTAAGACTTCTAGGACTATGTTGAGGGAGAGTGATAAGAATAGGAGCTCTTGTTCCTGATTTTAGAGGAAGGGCTTTCAACCTTTCACCATTGAGTATTATGTTAGCTGTGGACTTGTAATACTTGGCCTTTATTATGTTGAGATATGTTCCTTTTATGCCTGATTTTTAAAGAGTTTTTATCTTGAATGGATATTGAATGTTGTTGAATGCTTTTTCTGTGTCTGTGGAGATGATTGTATATTCTTTTCTTTCATTCTAATCAATATGTATCACATTGATTGGTTTGCATATGTTGAACCATCCCTGCATCCTAGGGAAAAATCCTACTTGATCATGCTGTCTGATCCTTTTAATGTACTGCTGAATTTGGTTTGATAGGATTTTATTGAGAATTTTTGCAATTGTACTCATTGGGAAGTTGGGCCTGTACTTTTCTTTTTTAATAGTAGCATCTTGTTCTTGTTTTGGCATCAGGATAATTCTGGCCTCATTTTATCAGTTTGGGAGTGTTCCCTCCTCTTGGATTTTTTGGGAACAGTTTGAGAAGGATTGGTATTTATTCATATTTAAATATTTGGTAAATTTACCAGTGAAGCCATCTGTTCCTGGGTTTTTCTTTGGAAGGTTTTTTGTTACTTATTTAATCTCCTTACTAGTAATTGATCTATTTTGATTTTCTATTTCTTATTGATTCAGTCTTAGTAAATTATGTTTCTAAGAATTTTTCTATTTCTTCTAGATTGTCCAGTTTGTTGGCAAATAGTTGTTCAGAGTAGCCTTTTGTGATCCTTTGAATTTCTGTGGTATCAGTTGTAATGTTTCATTTTTCATTTATACTTTTTGGGTTTTTTTTCACCCCTTGGTTACTCTAGTTAAGGGTTTGTCAATTTTGTTTATCTTTTTAAATAACCACACCTTAGTTTGGTTGATATTTTCTATAGTTTTTTTTCTCTATTATATTTATTTCTGCTCTAATTTTATTATTTCCTTTCTCCTGTCAACTTTCTTCTTCTTGTTCTAGTAGTTTACGGTGTAGAGTTAGGTTGTTTATTTGAGATCTTTCTTGTTTCTTAATGTCGGCATTTATTGCTATGAACTTACCTTTTAGAACTGCTTTTGCTTCATCCCACAAGTTCCGGTATGTTGTGTTTCCATTTTGGTTTGTATCAATAAACTTTTATTTCCCCTTTAATTTCTTCTTTGATCCATTGATTGTACAAGAGAGTGCTGTTTAATTTCCATGAGTTTATGAATTTTCTAGTTCTCCTCTTATTATTGATTTCTAGTTTCATGCCATTGTTGTCAGAGAAGATACTTAGTATATTTCAGTCTTCTTGAATTTGCTATGGCTTATTTTGTGGCCTAACACTGAATCAGTTTATTCATCTCTACAATGAGGTTGAGGTTATATAATAACAACAACATGTATTGAACCTTTTCTCTGTTTTCCACATGTACATTCTCAGAAGCAGTCTCTGAAGCCCGTTCTGAAGCCCAGTAGCATTCCCCGGTTAAGGAGTTATTAAATGGCAGAGCTAGGATTTGAACCCAGCACTCTACATTACTGTCTCCTAAGCTTCTGTACCATGGGTAGCTAAAATGTCTGAGTGAGCATGTCTGTGTGGGGTTGACATTCAGAATTGGCTTATGTCAGCAGGTCCTTTTAGAGGTGTCACTGGAGAATTTAACTCTGTTACTCAGGAGAGCTCAGTGAGTAAATGGAATGAGTTTCTGACAAAACTTTTGATTAGAGGAGAATATAAAGACTGGTCTATAGAACAGTATTGGGGCTTCCATCAGAGGGACAGGTAGAGGAGCAGCCTGCACAAAGGGTGAGGAGACTCAGGAGACCCTGGTATTCCAGACACTAAGGGATTGAGGAGACCTTTGCAAAGGTCAGGGTGCTCAATTGTGTGAACACTACTGAGAGTTCAGACAAAATTTGAGCTGACAGGCCCCAGGAGATTTATCAGTTAGAAGGCAGGCTGCTTCCCTAGTGTCTGAAATCACATCAGTCATCTCATTTTGTTTCTATTTAAAACAGTTTCCCAGGAGTTGTTCTTTAATCTTGTCCACAGATGGGGAATGCACCCTCTTTTGGACCCCTGTGAGCCATTCCCTGCTCCACGTGGCTCATGTAAAGTCCCTTGTCACTGAACTTAACTACCTGATTGTTAAACCACCTTAGAGGTGCACTTCTGCTGCAGCTGAATGGCTCTACAGTCTCCACAGTTAGCCACCTCCTGGAACTGGATGTTTAAATCAGACAATAACTCTGCAGTTGCCATGATGCTTTTTGCCTTTGGACATCTTTCACCTGCATCTGAGAGCTGATGTATTTTTCTTAAACTTACTTTAATTGTGAAAAGTTCCAGTCATGCATTCTGGTGGCTGGAAGGATGAATTAATAGTAGTCTAATCGCCCTGGAGACACAGATGCTTTTGTGAGTTGGCACTGAGGTAAAACTGCACATCTCTGTGGGGATGACAAGTGAATGAGTCTGCTGCTCACTTAACCCAGTGTTCTTTTCTCTCCCTATTTTTTCTCCTAGGAAACAGATGGAAGACTGCTGTGACCCCGCCCATCTCTTTGCTATGACTAAAATGAATTCTCCCATGGGGACGAGCATGTGGTATGATGGAGAGTTTTTATACTCATTCACGATTGACAATTCAACTTATTCTCTCTTCCCCCAGGTTAGTATAGAGTTTATTGCCTTTCAATATAGCCTTTTACATGTCTTGATTTTACAGGAAAGGTGTAATTGAATTTGCCTAACGAATCAGGTATACTTTTCATCTTCTTTTCTTAATTTTAATTTTTATAGTTATTTTTGTGTGTGGGAAGGAATCACACGGTGTTTTGATGCAAGAGCCGAAGTAGGATGCTATAGAGCAATGGTTCTCGACCTTCCTAATGCCGTGACCCTTTAATACAGTTCCTCATGTTGTGGTCACCCCCAACCATAAAATTATTTTCGTTGCTACTTCATAACTGTAATTTGCTACTGTTATGAATCATAATGTAAATATCTGATATGCAGGCTATATTTTCATTGTTATAAATTGAACATCATTAAAGCATGGTGATTAATCACAAAACAATATGTAATCATATATGTGTTTTCCGATGGTCTTAGGCGAGCCCTGTGAAAGGGTCATTCGACCCCAAAGGGGTCGCGACCCACAGGTTGGGAACCGCTGCTATAGAGTAACAGTTCCCCTTCTGATTTGAGTCATATGCGACTGAAGGAAGCAAACTGAGAATGAAAGTAAGGACAGGGAATTGTGGAATTCCAGAGTTGTGAGGTTGGCTGTGATATGATCTCAAAGCACTGACATGCTGGTTTCGGGTTGATGTTGCTCTCAGGGAGTAGGGACCATAGGGTCAGAGTTTGCTTCTTAGAGCTCTTGAACCTTCACCCTGTTGTTAGACTTACTGCTATGAAGTGGAGGAGTGGTGGATAATGGAGATAGAGAATCTGACCACTTTCAAAGTGGTCTAAAACAAGCTCTGCCTACTTAATGTTTTTCTTCTTGGTTTCTTGAGCATTGAAATACAGTGTTTTACTAAATTATATCTATGTAGCAAGTGGGGGAAAGGAAATCTTTTTGGGGAGCCCTTGTTGGAGAGGGAGTGGATCTTAGGTGAAACTGCCATCAGGGAGAAATATCAGGCCAGCAGAGGAGGCAATAAGAGGCAACCAGGCTGGTAGCGGGGGGCGGTTAGGGGTGACCAGGCCGGCGGGGGGAGGGGGAGTTGGGGGCAATTAGACTGGCATGGGGGGCAGTTAGGGATGATCAGATAGGCACGCAGAGGCAGTGAAGGGCTATAAGGCTGGCAGGGGAGGGCAGTTAGGGGCAACCACACAGGCAGGCAGGTGAGCAATTAGGAGCCAGTGGTCCAGGTTTGTGAGAGGGATGTTAGTCACCCCTAATGGCCCCCCCTGCTGACCTGGTTGCCCCTCACGGCCCCCCTGCCAGCCTGGTCACCCCATGCAGCCTGCTGTTCAGTTGTTTGGTCATCCCTCACTAACTTCCCTGCCAGCCTGGTCGCCCCATGCAGCCTGCTTGTTCAGTTGTTTGGTCGTCCCTCATTAACACCCTCTGCCAGCCTGGTTGCAGGGAGCCATCTTGTGAGGGCGTGAGGGTTAATTTGCATATATATTACCTCTTTATTATATAGGATTATTAGGTATTAATGCTGTTCTGGTTCATATTGGCCTCTCCAGGTCTGCTGTCCCAGACTTGGCCTCCCCAAGTCTTCTAGTCACTCTTGGTTTAGCCAAGATAGTTATGCAGAAGGAGAAGTCATGGTCAGAGTTGGAAAAAGGGGCTGAACCTCTCATGTATCTGAATTAACAGCAAAGTGTCTTCAAAGGGGGGATCCTGTGAACTTGAGGCACAGGCTCTGCTGGATCCAAAGCCACTCTCTGTGAAATAGCCCATATTTGCTATTTCGTCCTTAGGTGTTTCAGTTTAATTTAATTTAATGATTTTTAGGGTGTAACGATGTTTTATTTTTCAGTAAAAATGGAAGGTTTAGTCATTGCTAGCATCTATGTGCTCTCTCCCCCTCTTCATTTGCCCTTGGGAGGCTTTCTAGGGTCAAAGGAAAGGACTGAGAGTCATAATCACAGGTGTACACCTGAAACTAATAGGATATCGTACATCAAATATAATTTAAAAAGAAAAGAAAAGAGTTATAAAATGCGGGGTTGAGTTTTGTCTCCATCTCTTACTAAGTAAATGTCTTGCTAAGTCACCTAACTCTTCTGAGATTCAGCTTTCTCATTTGTACAATGGGGAGATCAGCCCCTGTCCCACCACCTCTCAGTCTTGTGGTCAAGATTAATTAGATAATTTATGTGCATGTACTTTGTAAACTGCAAAGCATTATGTAAATACTAGAGGCCCGGTGCATAAAATTCATGCGGGGGTGGGGGGGAGGAGGTGGTCCCCTCAGCCCAGCCTACACCCTCTCCAATCCGGGATATCCCTCGGGGTGTCAAACTGCTGGTTTAGGCCTGTCCGCTACCGGCCTGGTTGCCTCTTATTGCCTCCTCTGCTGGCCTGGTCACCCCTAACTGCCCCCCCTGCTGACCTGGTTGCCCCTCATGGCCCCCCTGCCAGCCTGGTCACCCCACGCAGGCTGCTGTTCAGTTGTTTGGTCATCCCTCATTAACCCGCTCTGCCGGCCTGGTCGCAGGCAGCCATCTTGTGAGGGCGTGATGGTTAATTTGCATATATATTACCTCTTTATTATATAGAATTATTAGGTATTAATGCTGTTCTGGTTCATATATTGCATCATCAGATGAGGGAATGGAGACTATATATTATTCAAGGTTTAGGCAAGGAACAGAAATCTTCCTAGGCATTTTCACAGAAAGTTATTTCATATGGAGAATTAGGCACTTAAAAATCATTAGAAGAATAAATATGTGGGAGTCAAGAGTCAAGAGGTGGCTCCTGAAATTGCTTAGTTCAAGAACCTGCTGCCCTAACTGTGGTTTAGGAATTAGAAAGCCCTAGCTTCTATTGCCATTCCCGTGGCCCAAACTGCCCCCAGCAGAAATGGGGCCAGATAGATGGGTTCCAACTCCCTCCCTCCTTTCAAATCTCCCTCAAGTGCATCTAATAGGTAAGATTAATTTGCATCTGGAATAGTAGTTGCTTAGCAGTCCAGGAGAGGCAGTTTTAAATGAAGCCTCAGCAGGGAGTTAGGAAAAGGGTGGAATAGAGGACGAACAGGCCAATCCACAGTATCCTCTGTTCATAACCCCATATCAACTCACAATGAAATGAAGAGAGATAAGGAAGCAATCACTTTAACAGCTCATCAAATAGGAAAAAAATTAAAGAAGCCCCAAATAGGCTTTGTATACATGAAGGCTTATGAACTGACTTTTAACTCTACGCTGGAAAACAGATTTGAAGAAAAGACGGTTAAAGAAATAAAAACTAGCTCCTATCTTATCTGTTAGTTGCAGCCGTAGGATAATAGGACACATTTCCTTTTTAAAGGGCATGCACAGAATCCTGTGCCTCTTTTTGCCAGTAGAACCATTTCTTTTTTATTTAATTGAATTTTATTTTCCATCTCCGTTTCTTAATGATAAAGAAAAAATGCTTTTTTCTTATGAAGCAGAAGTTATGACATCACCGTGTGTGCTCATGGTCAACACCAACAGTGAACCAGTTCAATGAATAGATTTTAAAAATAGTTGTGTGTATTTTTCCGCAGAGATTCTGAGAAGACTAATTTATAGAAATCCTGGAAAATCACTTTGCATCAACAGAAAAAATGGCATATCCTCTCACCACATTATTATTTCTTAGTGAAATATTTCTAGTTTGTTATCAGGAAACTAAGTAGCCAGTTCATCGATGTGCTTTCTTCTTTTTCCCCGTGGGAAGGAAGTTGTGTGTTGGCCAATTAGGCAGAAAGGCAGGTGAGTGGGCTAGGCTCAGTGTTGTCAGTTGAACAAAGTGTCCCTTCTTTCTGCGAGTTTCAGCAAAATCGTGCCATATCACTCATTCTCTAACTCAGATGTATAATTTTACATTATACCTTTAATTATATATTTTAATATATTTATTTTAATTCTATGTTACACTTTCTCCCTAAATGCTCAGTATATATTAGCCATCAGCATTAGTGTTTTTATTCCTTTGCCTACCTTTATCCATTGTTGTTATTATTGTTGCCAACATGCAGTACAAGATGCTCTGTGTGCTGTGGAAAGTTAGCAGGTGCTGAATTAGAGCTGGAGGGTCTAGGAGGGTCCTACTGAGAAGATGTGCACTTGGAGATGCTACACCGAATCTCTGGAATTGCAATTAGTAGCTCTTATTTGGGTCTCTCATGACTTCCCATAACTTTGTTATTAAACTTACTCAATTCTGCCTCATACGAATTTATCTATGTTAACAACATATTACAGTTTTCTTTCTCTCTTTTTTTTTGTTATATTACCGTTTTCTTAAAGTCCTTCTCTGCTGATCTCCATACCTCTTGTGAGCTTTTGAGGAACAAGAACAATTTTTCACTTCTGTGCCTAGCTCAGTCCTTCCCACTGAAACAGATGTTCATTTTCAGCGGCTCATGTTTGCCAAGGGCTCCCTTTCATGTTCCACCTGGGCTGGACACCTGCAGTGCCCTTGCCTGAATTGCAGGAGGCCAAACAGGACATACGGATGCAGCTGTTTCCAAGAGGGTCTATATTTTGATAAAATATTTTTTGTTGAATATTATTAGGCATGAAGGGCAGAATTTTAACTTCACATAGGTTTTCTAGAATATTCTGTGTGAATGCGTTTGGAGAGGACAATGTGATGGCCTTTCTACTTTGAGATTCTCCTCATCCCCTGGGTTGGGGTCAGCTCCTTCCTTTTTTTTTTTTTTTTTTTGCCAAGAATAGTCCCTGTTAAGCCTGCATGGTCTCATGTTTGTAGATATTACTAAATAAATAGTATTTTGGCCTAAAACATTTATACTAAAAAAGAGCATATTTCCTTAGAAATGAGTGAGGGAGGAGCA